GCGGAAGAGAGGGTCGAGTAAAAAGGACATTATGCGTCTTTTCACATTTGAGAAAAGGACAAATTTGTAAGGACAAGTGTAAGTGAAGGAAACCGAAACAAACACACAGACACACTAGCACACTCGCACTCTCGCAAATACCAATCCACACACACAAACACACTCACAGGACAACGACGACGACAACGACGAGTGCCGCAACTGTTTTCGGTGCCCCACCCACTCCGCCGCCCGCCGCCCGCCGCCCTCTTTGCTGAGAGAAAATCAATGCCAGTCCATGAATCAAGATCAGGTTTTCAGAACGAATTAGGAGGCCTTTTCGGGAAAGCCATTAGATTGAAAATGTTATTGGTTTTCTGCAAGTCCTGGATTTTCCTCAAAATAAAGGACTCAATGAATGTGATGTCCAGTTTTCAATTCAAATGCAGTTTAAAATAGTTTACCAAACAGGTGAGAAACGTTGCTCATGGCATTGAAATTGTATTCGAGTTCAAGGTTTATCCTTAAAAATGAACATTTTATTCAAGATGAGTCTAATTTAAATTCTGTGAATCCTAGAGAGATTCTAAATTTCCATAGAAACTCTTGCAAATGTATTAAACAAATAGCAAAATTGATAGTGATTTCTAAAGGCTTTTAAACAGAATTTTTGTCTGATTTAAATTGATCCCATTGTGGCTTAAAGTTTCCCCAAACGAGTTCGGGGAAATCAAAGAGAATATTTATTTATTTCCATTGGTTTCCTGTTTTTAATATGCATTTGCATATTGAATTGAAATCTGTTTCAGAATTTAAGTGCCATTTATCTCGGAATCAATAATCCCCAGAGAGAACTTAGCTCCAGCTTTCTGTGAATTTATTTATTATTTCTTGGTCCGGGAAAATCAAATTAATATGTACATAATGACATGAAGTCCAAGAACCATAGTAATTGATAAATGCTTATCTTATACAAGAATTTTAAATATTCACTTAATTCATTTAATTTAAATACCATAAAATGGATGAAAAGCTTTTATTTAATTCCCTTAACTACAGAATCTGCTATTAATCTATACGTAGAAAACGCTACAAAAAGAAAACTAGACACCGGAAAACTAATTTTTGGCTGACTGACTTTTCACAACTCTCGCGGTAAATGGATGGTTCTGAGGGGGCGGCGGGGGTGTTAGGGATTGAAGGAAACTAAAACTAAATTCCTGCGGACCAGCTCCTACGAGGGGTAAGGGGAACCCCAGGCAGGCATGAGGTGGCATCGTCGCTGGCGTTGGCGCGTGGAGGTAATTGAAGTGACGTTTATGAATGTCATCCGTCAAGCACTCAAGGACATTTACATACAAACACGCACACATTGACACCGCCACACACACATATACATACATACTCACTCACGCACACATGGTCGCCGTTGTGGGGCTTTCGGTTTGCCTGACAGATGCGAGCTTACACAGATTTTCTTGTGTTTTTATACCCATTGGAATCAATTCTTATTGGGGTTATATCAGTGATTAGTGATCAGTGATAAATTTACATATTTTTTTAAAGCAAGCATTAATAAATATAACAAATTTAAGGAGTACTTTTTAAGTAAAGCATATTTGGACCACATATGTATGTCTCTTAACCTTGTTTCCTTCTCTTATTTCGACTTGAAACCATTTCTTTTTTGTATTTAAGTAAAATCAACAACTTTCAAGCTTCTCATACATATTTCCAAGACAAAATAAATAAATAAATCTGAGCAGCAGGTAACTTTTAGTCCCCATATTCCAGCTGGGAGCTTTGCTCGCTGATATTTGCTTTTTTCCGCGTTTTATGTAGACAAACTCGCACACAGCGGCGACTGTTCGAGGGGAGAAGGACGCTTGGCGAACCAATACAGCCGCACGATGTGGAGGATGTGAGTGCAGGACATGTGTGTGTGTGTGGGTGTACTCATGTATATGTGTGTGTGTGTGAGACAATTTAAAAATAAATACAAGAAACTAGCGCAGAACGTGACGGAGGCGGCGGAGGGTATGGCGCCCCCAGTGGGCTGTGGATGGTGCAGGACCTCCAGCGAGGGCAGGATGATAGATTGAGAGTGAGCCCGCAGCCGAAGTCCGCACTTACAGCTCCCGAGGAGAGAAAGGGCTCTGAGATATGGGCCCCGGACTCAGTGTGCGAATCCACCAGAATCGCCAGCTTGTATAAATTGACAAAGGTCTTTCCGTGGCCATATATCACTTGCCTTGTTTGTGGCGCTGATGAGTCGAGATTTGTTTATGCACATGTCCTTTTTATCGCCGGGCAAGTATCTACGCCATCTAGTCCCCAGTTCGATATCATTTCATCTCCATAGCCTTTGCGCCGCTTGAATTAGTTGGTTTGCTTTCATAATTTGACAGCGGCGGCATCCCCAGAACCATATATCATTCAGAGTTGATAAGATGGATTCCATTTAGTGCTGACGTATCCTTACAGTTTATATAATTTAACAATTTATTTTCGTTAAAGTACCCTTGCAGGGTATTATAATTTTGGTCTGAAACATGTAAAGCAGTGAAGGAGTCATTTCCGACCCTAAAAATCGTATATATTCTTGATCAGCGTCAAAAGCTGAATTGATCTAGCCATGTCTGGTAAAACTAATTTTAATAAGGGGTTACATCATTTAAATTTGCAAAAATTCGAGGAAATCACAATTTTTGTATGTATGAAATTTAGTATGCAGATTTATTAACCTAATAAAAACTAACATAGGATAGCTTTCCGTATTAAAATTAAAGCATTTTTCGCTTAGTTTTGAGTATTTGAAATTTGATTTTATTTGATTGTATCATATGTCCCGTTAATCCGTGGAAAATCTAATGCGTCCTTGCTCCTGAGGGACCTTAGTTTGGGCTGCAACGGAAGTAAGTTCAGAATGTTAGCTGGAACTCATCGCCTAACCCATGCATAGGCAATTCTGCATTTTCTCGAGCCTCCTGCGAACACCCCCCTATATATAGTATAGTACTATCGTTGGTGTATATACATATGTGTGTCGTGGCAGCCCACTTGGCTTGTCTACTAATTAAAATGCATGCAATAACCTGAAGCCTTTGTTGCCACATTCTCGTGGCTGTTGTTGTTTTTGTTGGCGGCGAGGCTGTTGCTGCTGCTGCTGCCGCTGATGTTGCCGCTGTTGTGTGTTGCGTAGAAGGACGCAGCAGCAACGTTGACAATTTGCACAAAGTGCTTAGGAGGCCAGGACAGATGCAGAAACTTTTCTTAAGGTTAGATACATACATATATAGAATCCGCAAAAAAATCCCACCCACCTGACACGCGGTGGTATTAAGCCAGCTTTAAGGGGCATATAGTAACGTCTATTGATAGACCCGTCCATGCCGAAAGCCAAGTTACATTTTTAATTGTGTATCGAAGGGGGCTATTTATAAAACAAAAGATTCCGAAATGTCCTTGTTCGGTAATCTCAACGGAGGAGGACGACAAGCCCTGAAAGAGCCATAGGTCGTGTTGGTAGCAAACGGGGGATTCCCCCACACACAGTCTCTGTCTGTGTGTGTGTATGTATATGCATTTTTAATGAAATTTGCCGACGATTTGCGCTCGAAAGCAATTTGAAAGCCCAAACCCAAACAAAAAAAAAAAAAAACCCAGCCAGCAACAGTTGCAACTGCAACAGCAGCTACATATAGCCGCCTCACGTGTGTGGCTTACGAAAAATTAATGCAAATTTGCATAATAAACAAACACAATAAACGGGTGGGATGGCCAGGACACGAGGCAGAAATCCTTGCATGACTAAACCAAAGTTCAGAACTCTAGTCGGGCAGAATTGATTAAGTTGTTGGTGTAACTTTTGTTGATATTGCTGGAACAACAACCATTATTTTGCCTCAACTTTAACATTTCGGTTGAACATTTTTAAATCGGAATTTACTATGGAATATCTTTTTGTTTTGGGATAGTGGAAGTTGCCACAAGGCAAGGTGCGGTAATAAAATGATAAATAAATAATAACAGTAACAGGAATGAATATTCCAATAAAATCGGTCCTCAAAGTTTATTATTTCTACTATAATGGTAAATTTAACATTATTTTAAACTGTAAGATAATGTTTTGCTCTAATACTAATTATAAACTAAGTGTTATGCCCATTCAGCAGCAGCTTAAAATGCTTTTTAACTACATCTTCCGGATATTGTTTGAAATCCTCGGTTCTTTGATGACTACCTTGGCTATAAATAGATTTTTCACACGACTGCTATCAATGTTCAATCAAAGTGTGCATCTCCTTTCAACACTGACCTTCTACACATTTGTTTGCTCATATATGTTTGCAAATAAACAACTTTTTCCCTGGCATTCCGGCAATCCTTGCACCCACACACACAGCCTTTGACGTCACTTTCGGCAGGTCGTCGTGTGTGTGTGTGTGTGTGTTGTGGGTTGGACGTCTAAATTGCCGGCACAGAATTGTAATCAGCTTTGAGCCCAATAAACTGCATGAGTGTAAATTTCCTGAATGTAATCGCCCCCAAATCAAAATAGAGTACTCAGTGGCCTTCGAGGGCTTAGATGGGGCAATTGGGGGTAGAGAATGGGGGATGAGGATGAGGATAGGGATTGGCGTGCACATTGCAAAGGTCGGAAAAGCGCAGAGCCAGAGCCAAGCTAAGTAAGAACAAATCCCAGATTAGGATTTTAAATCGGATTCCATCTCATCCCATACTCATCTAGGCAATGGAAATACAAACTAAAGTAATTCATTATTAATCATTAATTTAGTTACCAAATGCTTTGTGTCTGTAAAATACTTAAGCTGTGAATTTTTTAAACTAATGAATGGAAATCAAATCCAAAGTTACCAAGCTTGTTATTTAAATTTGAATTCAAATTCCAGCGCCAACTAATGCCGAATGCAACCCTGGCCACTGCTCTCTCTCCCTGTGCAGTGAGAGAAAAAACGCCATCTTTGGAACGACGCTCACGAACCAGTTCCGAAGCCAAAGTGAACGCTGCGACCAGGGCTGCGTTGCCACCCTCGAGCTGCACAAAGAAAAATAATTTACTCGCCAGCAGCGCATTGACGTTTTTTCATTTTTTAAAGTGTACTTAAGAGTTGTTAATATTTTTCGCAGTGCTCAACCGACCACAACAAACAATAATAACCGAATAAGTGTGGGTGAAAATGCAGCGAGCTGCAATCGGCGCAACGCAGAGTGGAATCCAGCACCCAAAATCAGGCGAAGCCATCATTAGCGAGACATTTGTCTGACCCCAGCGGTGTCTGAGCATCGGAGAGTCGGAGAGAGCAGAGCAGAGAACCCAAGGAAGCGCCATTCGACCGAGCCGAAATGGGTAGGTGTATGTAGTAGGTGTAGTGTGTCGTCGCTGTGTATTGGGCGAGGGGCACTGGCGTGGGTGCGGGTTGGGGGGCCGGACCGAGTCCGGGGTACAGCCAAATGCAGCGACCACTAGGAGAACTCTCGGTACGATGCGCGCACTTCCAAGCCGCTGTCCTGCTACCTGCCCCTGCCACTGCCGCCCCCTCCTCCACAACCTTTTTCCACTTCGCACTCCACGAACGCAATGCGACCAGGGATGGACGAGCAGAGTAGCTAATCGTTTGGTGGGGAGAGATACACATATCGGATGGGAGGAACCAGAACAAAGGGCTTGCAACCGATAGTTGAAGTTGCAACTTGCAACTTTCTCAAGGTTTAATTGCAAATAGTTTTATTTGTTATCAGAAATCAGCATAAATAATGGAGGTTTTAAGTTAACAGGGAGAGCATTGAGACTTAATGGTGACATGCACCAGTGGGAACTTTAAAGAACCAGATATTCTCTATTAAATACAAAAATATCTACAATATTTTTTATTTTAACGCTTAATCAAGGCACATACATATAACAAAAAAAGTGTGTCTTATTAGAATAAATACCTTTGAAAATAAATCCATGATTAGGGTTAATAACTGACAATAATCAGATAATATTTTCTTTCAAATACTTTATTCAATGGAAATTGTATTAATTTGAATATTTCAAGTTCTGTGAAATCCTTAAATTAAAAAATATCAGCGAACAAGTGCATCCCAAGCGGCGGCTTAGCGAGTGCCCCAGCCCTGGTTAACGCATACAAACCCAAACCAACCGAAAATCGAATTTGCATTTGTTTACATTCACCTTTCCCTCATACATATACACAGCCTCAGATTCGATGGCCCCCAGCAGCAGCAGTGCGGCGGCCGCTGCTGCAGCCACCAAATTGCTGGTGGAGATCACCACCGACGGCATACCCAAGCTGCACTGTCCGGTGTGCAACAAGGCGCTGGTCTCATTGGCCGGCTATGTGAAGCACGTCAAGAAGCACCAGCCGCCGGGCGGCTTCGAGTGCCGCAGCTGCGACGCCCGATTTTGCCACGAGGAGGAGCTAACCAAGCATGCCAAGGATGAACATGGGGAAACCGCCTCAGTCGCTGGCCAAGAACGCAAGCCCTTTGTCTGCGAGAAGTGCGGGGCGGAGTACAAGTACCAGGAGGCATATCGACGCCACTGCAGGACCAAGTGTGGTGAGGAAAAGCCGCCGAAGGTAAGTAAATCGCCACAAATAAATAAAAATCTTGAGTTAAATTCGATTTTCGTTCCCGTTCAGGAGGAGACCCGACCGGTGGAGTGCAGTTCCTGCTACACTCGCTTCTCCTGCTTTGCCAGTCTGACCAAGCACCGGCGCAGTCGCCCCGAGACCTGTGGCCAGCCAGAGTACGATGTGCCTGGCGAGTCGGAGGGGAAGAAGCGGAAAGCTTACCGCAAGAAGGGAAGGAAGAGGGACTCCGATGATGAGACCACCTCTGACGAGTCGGAGGAGGAAACTGACGATGACATTCCACTGGCCAGCCGGCTGAAGACGAAGCTCAAACAAGAGAGCCAGTTCTCGGACTCGGGTGACGAGTGTCCCGACTTCGAGCCCAACAACAGCGAGGACGAGGCGGATTCCTCTGGATTTAAGCTGCCACCACCGGCCATGGTCAAGGTTGAGGCCTTTGACGAGGAGGACTTTGAGTACCAGGACGCCAGCATGTATGTGAAGACGGAGAGCACGGATATCTTCAGCAACGAGAAGGACAAGCTCCTGGATGTGCTGCTAAACGAGGGCGATGGCCTGAAGCCCTTCGAGAGCTTGAAAGTGGAGCAAGGAGCCGGCATCCTAGACGAGATTGCGGCCGTGCCGCTGGTGGAGGTAGCCGAGGAGGATGTTCTGTCCCTTAGAGGTCCACGCAAGGATGAGGTAGTAAAGCGGAAGCGAGGCAGGCCGCCGAAGGAGAAGATTCCGGTTATCAAGCGAAAGTATCGCAAGCGCAACGCACCGAGGTCGCCCTCGCCTGAGGATTCATCCGGAACCCCGAAACGCGTAGCCAAGATAAGCAAAAAGGAGCTGAAGGAACGCCTTAAGATGATCAACAAGATGGAAAAGTCCTGGAAGTGTCCACATTGCGTCAAGATCTACCACATTCGCAAACCATATGAGAAGCATTTGCGCGACGACCACAAACTCAACGAGCAGGAGATGAAGGAGATATTCAAAGACGTAGACGTGCATGCCAAGCTGGATGAAGAAGTATTCAAGTGCAACATTTGCAGCAAGATATATCTGGTCGAGAAGCGCCTAGTCACCCATATGAAGGTGCACGGCGAGGACGGCAAACTGACCTTCAAGTGTCCGTGTTACTGCAACCTGTTTTTCGCCACCAAGGAGCAGGCCACGGAACACGCCCGGGCGCAGCACAAGGAGCTTCTCTACTGCGAGAAGTGCGACAAGTACATGACCGGCCACGACAGCCTCAAAAACCACGAACGCAATTTCCACTCGAAGAAGGAGCCGCGCAGCCAGCAGCGCAACCTCATATGCGACAAGTGCGGCAAGAAGTTCACCGGACGCACCTCACTCTCTGACCATGTGCGTTCCGACTGCGGCCGCCTGCCACTCTACGGCTGCACCGTTTGCGGCAAGCATTTGTCCACAGCTGGGTAAGTTTATCTGTGTATACATCATGGAAATATTCCAGTTTTAATACATTTTCTCTTTCTTCTTTAGCATTCTCAAGACGCACATGCTCTTGCACAAAGCAGACACTCCCTACCAGTGCGACAAGTGTGGCAAGACATTCAAGGTGAAGGCCCAATACAAGTCGCATCTGAAGACGCGGCACACCGACTACAAGCCCTACAAGTGTCACCTCTGCCCCAAGGAGTATCCATACAGGGAGAGCCTGCTCACCCACATGACCGTGCATACGGGCATCAAGCGTTTCCTGTGCAATAACTGCGGCAAGCGCTTCACCTGCATCTCCAACCTGCAGGCTCATCGCAAGGTGCATGCCGACACTTGCGGTCAGCTGCCGTTGAATGCCAAGGCCACCCAGTACATGGGCGTGCAGCGAGGCAAGCTCTTGATGGGCGCCAAGCCCGAGGCAGGCATGGAGTATGAAGAGACCAAGACACTGATCGCACAGGACGTGATTGACCGGGACATGCCTATGGCCCAGGAGCTGAACTTCCCATCTGACGGCTCGGCACCGCTGGCCACTGTGCCGCTAAATTATGCCTCCTCACACCTGGTGCCCCACATCGTGCTCCAGACCATGCAGGCCGAGGCACGGCGACTGGAGTAACTTCGGAACACATTCACTTAGAGGTCCCATTCAATAATGATGCTTTTTGTAAACGGATGCGTATTCTACTTGTACAACATATGGGATGTAACTACATATAATATCTACTTAATGACTGGATTAATTAAATAACATTGAACGATAAATGTATGCTACATAAAATTGATGTAGTTAAAGGTTTAGCGCCATACGGACCTGTCAACACACATTTAAGAAAATAAATTTCCTTATAAAAATATTATCTTGCGTTTTGGCAAGGCATTTTAAAAATATTTGGGTTTTGTGGAGCTTGATCCCAATACCGACCTGAAATATATTAATAGAAATCTTTTAAGTCAACCACAAAACATTGAAACTCCAGTTTTTTAAATCCATTTATTCAGATTAACTTAATAATCTATTTAAAGAAAGTAAAAAAACCAGCATATTTTCAAGAAGAGGTAGAGAACACTTTTTTTCTTAAAATTAAACATTACTTTTATTTATACATATATTGCCTAACGTTATTAAAAACTAGATTTCCTCCATGCTTGGCCTCAGTTCAGTCTAAAATAAGGTTGCTGATAGCGACCAATCGGCATCCGATCCTTGGTCCTCAGTCGGCGCACAGCCTCACGGATAAATTTGGGCTGCAAGGCGCCGGATTCCCCTTGAGCCTCCATCACATCGAGAGCCTCCTCCACAACTTCGCCAACGAAAACTTTGGCTATGCCCGACATGGCTATAACGACATTCTGGGACACAGAGCAGCCGGTTATGGTCTGCATCAGTCGTTTGACAGCGGCCTTTGGAAAGGCGGAGCGTCGGTACATCTCGTAGCGGTCCAACTGCTCCTCCGTGAAGTTGGACACCAGAACTCTACATTGAAGAGAGGCAAGTCGCTTAGGAATCACGAAATGTTTGTATTATATTTATTGCCACTCACTGCATTCGCTCGCGCTCTTCCTCCTCCAGCTCCTTCTTGGTCTTGAGCTTCTTGTGTGCTGGTTCCCCGGAGTCGCCATCGCCATCCGTGTTCTTGCCGTCCCCATCCACATCTTTGACGTCCCGCTCCGCATCATTGGCCGTATCCGAGGTCTCGCTGTCTTTTCGATCGCCAGTGCTCGTGTGGAAGAACTTGAGGTCGACATCGTCGCTGTCGCTGAGGGAGTTGCTCTTCTGTTGCGTTGGAAAAAGGATTTCGTCCATTTGGGATGGATAGTATTTTTAAACAAAATATAAAAGTAAGACCGCACCGAGTTTGTTTGGAAATACCATTTATATACAAGTTTATATAAAAATGAAATATGAAATAGAAAACTCGTAAAGAAGAATTGAAGGCATAAGTGAAGCTTGTTATTATAATAGTGGTTCAATAATTATGTTAATAAGGTTTAAGGCTTTTTAAAAATTGTTAACAAAAAAAACCAGGGCTGGTGACTTATTACACTTTAAATCGTGTTACGCAGCCCTGGGACAGTACTCATGAACTAGTTCTCGTGTTACATATCGGTAGGAATGCCAATTAGAATTCTTTTGAGCGGATTATGTGTATTTTAAAGTGCATCATCAGAAAAAGAAGATATATTATAGATTTGTCTTTTATATAATGTTTTTCCTATGTTTGTAGTGTTTTCTCTTATTTTTTATCTTAAAAAACGCACGCAAATTATTTTAATTGTCAACCGATATCTAAAGAAAACCCGATAATAGGAGGCTGACGATTTGACACAATCAGCACAAAACCTATTCAGAAAATTAATTTTTTATTAGAGAAAGCGAACCGAATTAAAAGGTTAATAGTGAAAAACGCGAACTCCGCTAGTTCCGATAGTCCAACCCTGGTTTTGTCGGCGGGCACCTCGTGTTTTTGTTCTTTCTCCGCATCGCCGTTGCCAGGCAAGAGTGCACGCTTGATTTTCGTTTATTTAATCGGTTTAAGAACCAGCCACACACTCCGAGATGTCCGCCACCGAGGCCATAAATGTGGAGGCAGCCGTTGCCGAGATCGGCGAGGATGCCAAGAAACAGAAGAAGCCAAAGCCGAACAACAAGAAACTGCGCCAAGGTGAGTGACCTCATGCGAGCGGCGCACTGCGATAATTGCAGTTGCACGACCCCACTCCCAAAACCCGCCTCACCACCCACCAGCTCACCCACTTTTCCACCCACAGAGGCCGCAGCAAAGAAGGCAGCCGAAGGCGGCGACGAGGTAGCCAATGACGAAGTGACCACAAACGGGGATGCCAAGCCGGCGGTAGCGGCAACGGCTCAGCCGGCAAAAAAGAAGGCCAACAATAAGGGAAAGAAGAGTGGACAGACCGATCCGCCGACCATTCCCATTGCCAAGCTGTTTCCTGACGGCAACTTCCCCGAGGGAGAGGTCGTGGAGCACCCTACGCCCAAGGATATGGCGGACGACCGCACGGCGAAGGATCGGTTCACTTCGGAGGAAAAGCGGGCCCTGGACCGCATGAACAATGATATCTACCAAGAGCTGCGTCAAGCGGCCGAGGCCCATCGCCAGACGCGCCAGTACATGCAGCGCTATATCAAGCCGGGCATGACCATGATCCAGATTTGTGAAGAGCTGGAAAACACGGCCCGCCGCCTAATTGGCGAGAATGGCCTGGAGGCCGGCTTGGCCTTCCCCACCGGCTGCTCGTTAAATCACTGCGCCGCCCACTACACGCCCAATGCCGGCGATACCACGGTGCTGCAGTACGACGACGTGTGCAAGATCGACTTTGGCACCCACATCAAGGGGCGTATCATTGACTGCGCCTTCACACTGACCTTTAACAACAAGTACGACAAGCTGCTGCAGGCAGTCAAGGATGCCACAAACACTGGCATCCGAGAGGCGGGCATCGATGTGCGTCTATGCGACATTGGCGCTGCTATCCAGGAGGTCATGGAGTCGTACGAAATCGAGCTGGACGGCAAGACGTATCCCATTAAGGCCATTCGCAACTTAAACGGACACTCCATCAGCCCGTACCGTAAGCCCTTAAAATGAAACTAGTGATCTTTAAGAAAATACTGACTTTAAATTTGTATTCCCAGGCATCCATGCTGGCAAGACGGTGCCCATTGTCAAGGGAGGTGAGTCTACACGCATGGAGGAGGACGAGTTCTATGCTATAGAGACCTTTGGCTCCACGGGTCGTGGCTTGGTGCATGACGACATGGACTGTTCGCATTACATGAAGAACTTTGATCTGCCGTTCGTGCCTCTGCGCCTGCAGTCGTCCAAGCAGCTGCTGGGCACCATTAACAAGCATTTCGGCACTTTGGCCTTCTGCAAGCGCTGGCTGGACCGCGCCGGTGCCACCAAGTACCAGATGGCCCTCAAGGATCTGTGCGACAAGGGCATCGTGGAAGCCTATCCTCCGCTTTGTGACATCAAGGGCTGCTACACGGCCCAGTACGAGCACACCATTATGCTGCGACCCACTTGCAAGGAAGTGGTCTCCCGTGGCAACGACTACTAACGCTCTGGAGCGAGTTCAGGTTGGTGGTTCGGCGTAGTACGGCTTGCGTTTATTACAGTTTTTCATATATAAGTTCATTCAATTGTTGATAATTTGTGAGCGTGCGCGGATCGAAAAATATATAAAATGTATTATGCTCAGAATTTAAAGTATTCTAGTTCCGAATTCGAGACATGATTTTCAAGCCCTTGGGCATCAGTTCATGCCAGTAAAGAGAGTAAGCGCGACTGCGTTTTCTGGGCTTTGTCTCCTTCAGAGATCTGCAGATGTAGACAAACCATTTGCCCGTCAGATAGTAGAGTATCTCGATGTAGCTAACTATACTGAAGCCATACATCAGCGAGAGGATGCCTCCGAAACGATCTGAGTGAAAATTCTCCACTCTATTATTAATCTTTTACTTTATCTTTAGGAATACTTACTCAGTAGGACCACCCAAGTGCTCACCAACTGAGATTTCGTTGCCTGGGCAAATCGTAGCTTAAAGAAAAGCTTGATAATGGCCAAAGGTCGCTCGTTAGTTAGACCCTTTCTGAAATGTATAATATATATTTATATATTTTTCATAATTTATTTTATCAATTTAAAAACTCACAGTAAGCCTGTAAAGTAGCCGGTGCTGTTGTAAGTTAGTCTCAGCGGAGCCACATTGGTGGTGATGCTCAGACTTACGCCATTGCATGTGGGCAGACAGTGCTCGCATTGGCGCTGTGCCACCTGCTCCTCCTTGTTCTGCAAATACGAGAACTCATTGTAGCCATACCAGATGCTCTTCCAACGCAGCAGGCAGGGCAGATCGGGTAGCATGCAGTAGGCGAGATTGATGGAGCTGCCAACCATGGGCGGAGATACGCAACCGCAGTGATCCATCATGCTCTTTATGCGGCATAGCAGAAGGCACTCGTCCAGGGAGTAGTAGGACCTGTAGGCAGAAGGGACTCGAAATGGAACTAAAATAACTCTGATAGGAGACTCAACATACTGATTCAATAGTCGACTGCCCTCTTCTGGATAGTAGCAGCGTCGCTTTTGTGGGGGAACACTGCGAACTTCTTCGCTAGAACTGAAGAACATGGGTTGGATAGGAATCTCCACGATGGTATTGTGATCCACAAGAATCTCTCCCAAGCTGGTGGATTGAACGGTGGCATAGTCCTCTTGGGGAAATATTGTTAGCTAAAGTAGTTAAAAAATTCGGATTGATGATTCAACTTTCGCCTGATTCTTAGATTCTATCAACCCAATTAGAGAGTAAAGACATATCCATATGTATGTACATATATAAAAAGAAATTAGCTTTGGGAAGCCAAAGAACATTTGCAGTTTGTAATTGAATTATAGGATTGAATCGTAAATGGATCATAACTAAGCTTTGATTTATATATTTTATATGACAATTTTTTCGACAATTCAAACCTTAAAAAACGCATAACTAAGCCAAAAAAGCATTAATTTTTATTCTGAAAGCTTTCCTTAGTTAGTTTTTATTAGATTAATAAATCTGCATACTCAATTTAATATTTTAAAAAATTTGGAATTTTTCCAATTTCTTTTCATAATTTTAACGATGTAACCCCTTAAAAAATTTTCAAAGTTTTGAAAAAATTTAATTTTTTTTAAACATGGCTAGATCGATTCAGTTATTGGTGCTGATCAAGAATATATATGATTTATAGGTTCAGAAATGACTCCTTCGCAAATTATCACCACGAAAACCAAAGATATATCCTTTATAGAAAATATTTATCAATATTTTTCTATGTTCATTTTTTGTACAAAATCGCAGTTTTGTAAATATCATAACTAAGCGAAAAATGCATTAATTTCATTTCTGATTTCAACTTTGTGATAGTTTTTAAAAGGGTACAAAATTTGCATACTAAGTTTTAAAGTTATAGAACTCCATTTTTTGTCAAATTTAAAAAATTTTTAACAATGTAACCCCTTATAAAATTTTCAAAATTTTGAAAAATGTAAATATAATTCAGACATAGCTAAATCGATTAAGCTGTTTATGCTGATCAAGAATATATATGATTTATACGGTCGGAAATGATTCCTTCACTGCGTTTTAAGCTTCTGACTGAAATTATAATACCCTTAAAAGGTATAACCAGTTTCAATGCCGATTCAGTCATGATAAAAGCACAGACCCCTCTTAGTTCAGTTTGATCAATAAATTCGAACCATTTTATTGTTCAAATTGACATTAAGTGATAAATATATAAATTGAATTAAACCAAATTAGAATATATTGGGTTAGATTTGTATTAATGCTAATGGGTCATCGGCAAACCGTAAACAACCGATTATATATAATTAACAGTGTGAAGTGAACTTTTACAAATACTTAGCTAAAATCTGAATTATTTTAAAGACTTACCTGAAAAGCATTGTTAGTGCGAAGGGTGTTTGTAAAGTCATCCGCTGGCGTATCCTGCAGCACAAACTGAACGCTATTTAAAATAGAATTCGATTCGAAGACGACCTTTGGTACAGCTTTCATCTCAGCATCGTCCTTGGCTCGCTGGTCTCTGAAGTGCTCCAAGATTAAGTATCCGATCCGAAAGCGAGCCCCAAGTGGGATATACTCACGCAAATCGGGAGTAGCTAGTCCGGCGGTAGTTAAAAATGCAACACACATTCGACGAAGTTGGACGCTTGAGGAACATTTGGCTTGTATTGACGGGCAGGCCGAAGACTATGCCCCTGATGACTAGCTCCCCGCAGTCCGGTGACAACCGCCTCAAGATATCGCGAACCGAGTATCCAACGTTGTTGTAGTAGCTGGAGAGGAGTCGGTGCAGGAGCTCCAGCTCGGTGGCATTCCAACGATCGGTCTCAAACGGATTCAGGTAGAACTGAGCTAGCACCAGCAGGCGATCGGCCATATCGTCCACATTTAGGGCCACCGCCTGCAGTGTGGAGTTGCTCTGGTGGTGGTATCTATATATTGGGTAAAAGGGGTGAAGGAGTGGGCGTGGGAGTGGGTGTGGCGGGAGTTGAGTGGAGTAACAATCGGCAATTAGTATGCCCCACTGCGCTTGGCTGGGCTATAAAAGGCCTGAGACTGGGCAGACCCTGGATTAGTGCCAGCATGAAGCTACTACTGGTGGTGGTGCTGCTTTCGGCCAATTTTCTATTTCTCTGCTTGGCTGAACGCCTGCGGTTCGACCACTACCGGGTCTATAGAGTGCAACCAACGAGAGCTGATCAATTGAAGGGACTTGAAGTTCTGGAGGGAAGCAGCAATGATGTCATGGTCCTAAATAATCTCCACCTGGGACCCACCGATTTTCTAGTTTCTCCCAGCTACGATAAAGCATTTTTAAGTCTGCTGAAGAGCTTGGATCTCTCTCCCGAACTGATTGACGCCAATGCCCAGTCTAGTCTATCGCTGGACATTGAGCCCGTGGCGGACTCCAATCGTCGCACTGATGTCTACTCCTGGATGGTGTATCACGAGCTGAACGACACCCAACATTGGATGCAGAACTTGGTGGCCAAGTACTCGGATATAGTGACTATATTTGTGGCAGGCCAGAGTTACGAGGGTCGTGAACTCATGGGTCTGAAGATCAATCACAAGGATGGCAGGGCTGATAAGCAGTCCATTTTCTTGGAGGCTGGCATGCATGCCAGGGAATGGATCAGTCCCGCCACTGCCACGTATTTTGCCAATGAATTGCTGACCTCGCAGAATGCACAGATCATGGGGCTGGCCAAATCGTATGTCTGGTACATACTGCCGCATGCAAACCCGGATGGCTACGTCTACACGCACACAACAGTGAGTAACTTTCAAGAAATTAAGTTTCTTCCCTTAAACTTACGGATTTTTCTTGCAGAACCGCATGTGGCGCAAGACCCGCAGTCCGCAGGACAAAAACTGCTTTGGAACAGACCCGAACCGCAACTGGGACTTTCATTGGCGAGAGGTGGGAGCCAGTGCCGATCCCTGCTCAGAATCCTATGCCGGACCCAGGCCATTTTCCGAGCCGGAGACCAAAACTCTCTCTCAGTATTTGACATCGCTGCCGGAACCCATGTTCATGTACCTATCGCTGCACTCCTTCTCTCAGCTACTCCTGTATCCCTATGGACACACCTCCAAGCTGCCAGAAAATCATCGCCAACTGGAGCAGGTCTTCAATGTGGCAGTGGGCGCTATGAAACGCCGTTATGGAACCCGATATACGGGCGGAAATGTGTATGATGCCATTTATCCGGCAGCTGGTTCCAGCATGGATTGGGTCTACGGAGTGCGTAATGTCAAGTACTCCTTCTGCTACGAGTTGCGTCCCTCTGGCTACAGTTTCTGGACGGGCTTCAGACTTCCCGCTTCCCAAATAATACCCACGGGCCAGGAGACCACGGACTCTTTGATGGAAATGATTAAGGCTGCTGCCTCGATCGAGGGATACAAGTTACAATAAACATATCAAAATATTTATTATAAATCTTAGAAGAACGAATTCGAATTGATAAGATAAAAAGACAAAGTCATTTTGGTTATGACAAAGCTTGACGATAGCCTTTTCATAGTAGTGTTAGCTAAGAGCTCTTGATAAGATGAAAATTAAGATTCAGTTGGCCATTTTTCTAGGGAAAAACTAATGACTTTGATTAAGTTCAAGTTTCATTCACCACAATCTATAAATTGTAGTGTTTATGGTAGATAACTAAAACTAACAAAATAAATAGGAGAGAAATATTATTTTCATTGAGAAAGTAAAAAAAACTTATGCAGTTATCAAAAAATATTGGTAGACAGCACTTGTCAAATAAGTTGAAGGAATACTAACTCCTTTAATAGGAAATGTCCATCTAAATTTAATATAAATAAGCCTGTAAGAACTTTTGTAATTCAGGGTAGATAGAAAGTTAATATTTTTTTAAATTTCTAAATGATTACAAAGCCGCTCAAATAGTTTTCTTTGTATAATAGACAAACTGGAACTACTTTGCAAAACTAATGAACAGAAACAAACCTAGTTCTATAAGCCTAGTAATTTGGACAGCAGATAAGTTAATAAGTGTTTTGGTTTAACCCAGGGAAAAGCCATCTTCGCTACTCTGATGTACTGTCATTTTCCTGAAGACTTCCAAAACGTCATAACCAAGTCTTTAGTTGTGTTTTCAGAATGATTTACCACGCGACACGCCTGAGACTCTGTGATAAGAGTGCTCACCCACCGATGATTGCACAGATTACTCCGATATTTACAGCCCAAGTATTGGCAAAGGCACTCGCGGGCCGTAAATCAGATTCGACTGCTCCCGCTCTTATCGGTGGCCTATAAAAGCGGCTGGCAGACCCGCTGATGGCTCAAACCAACGACGACCATGTCGCTGACCAAGTGCCTGCTCCTTGCCATTGTGGCCGCCGTGGCCATTGCCTCCGTGAGTGCCGAACGGGCTCGCTACGACAATTATCGCCTGTACAAGGCCAACAGCGAGAATGCCGAACAGTTGGCGGTGCTGAAGCAGTTGGAGGGTTCCAGCGACTCGATCATGTTCTTGGATGGAGTTCACATCGTGGGCGCCGACGTGAAAATCGTGGTGGCTCCCCACAAGGTGCCCGACTTCCTGGAGATCATGGGCAAATCCGAGATTAAATACGTGCTGGAGACTAGCGACGTGCAGAAGGCTTTGGACGAGACCGAAGAGAAGGTGGCCATCAAGGGACGTGCCGCCAGGGCCTACAACTGGGCTGAGTACTACGAGCTGGATGATACCTACGCCTGGATGCAGAGCCTGGCCAACCAATACCCCGGCGTGGTTACCCTCATCGAGGGTGGCAAGACCTACCAGGGACGCTCCATTCTGGGTGTGAGGATCACCAAGGGCGGCAGCAACAAGCCCGGCATCTTCCTGGAGGCCGGCATCCATGCCCGCGAGTGGATCGCCTCCGCGTCCGCCACCTACATCATCAATCAGCTGTTGACCTCCGAGGTGGAGTCCATCAAGCAGCTGGCCGAGAACTACACCTGGTACGTCCTGCCCCACGCTAATCCCGACGGCTATGTCTACACCCATACCACGGATCGTATGTGGCGCAAGACCCGCACTCCCTACGGCAGCTGCTTCGGCGCCGATCCCAACCGCAACTGGGGCTTCCACTGGAACGAGGTGGGAGCCAGCAGCAGCGCCTGCTCGGACACCTACGCCGGCCCCTCGGCCTTCTCCGAGATCGAGACCCAGTCGCTGTCCAACTACATTGCCTCGCTGACCAGCAAGGGCAAGATCAGCCTGTACATCTCCCTGCACGCCTACTCCCAGTACCTGCTCTATCCCTATGGACACACCTCCGAACTGCCCGACAATGTGGCCGACTTCCAGAAGGTCTACGACGTTTCCATTGCCGCTGTGAACAAGCGCTATGGAACGAAGTACACTGGCGGAAACATCTACGATGCCATCTACCCGGCTGCCGGAGCCAGTGTTGACTGGGCCTATGGAACCCAGGGTGTGCGCATGTCCTTCTGCTACGAGCTGCGTCCTTCCTCGAACTCTATCTTCACCGGATTCAAGCTTCCAGCCGAGCAGATTGTGCCTGCCAGCGAGGAGCTACTCGACTCCATCGTGGCCATGGCCGACGAGGTCAAGAACCTGGGCTACTTCAACTAAGCGATTTCAAGCAATAAAGCACTCACAGTTTTACGGCATAATCCCGAAGGAGGCGGCGACTAATCTTGTTGGCGGTGCACACGCCCACCGCCGGAAAGGGGCTATTGGCCACGTGCACCAGGTCGGGGGCCAGATGTATCTCCGTCGGCTGGACAAGGTACTCCTGGGTCAGGTTAACAATCACAATGTGCGTGTAGATCACGATGGCGGTGAGCAAGGCCAGCCAGAGGGTTCTGCAAAGGAAAGATGTGGGGGGTCTTTGGTCACCTGAATTAGCTCAAGGTTCTTGGTGGAATCTCTCTCTCTTTATTAGGCTTAACTCTTTGGATACACTTTTATTGCAATAATAAGCTAGATGTGGTTTAAGGTAACCCTATGACTTTCAGCTACAACCACTCACTTGGCATATCGGACCGGCGAGCGGTAGAGCAGCGGATGCAATCCATTGATGTAACTCTGGCGCAGGAACTCACGGAACAGGCGGCGATACTGGGGCTCATCATCCACTCGAAGCGGCATTGTGTTTGAAGAGTGCTCGATTCGCAGACGATTTATAGTGGTCGGCTACTGCTCATCAATCATCAATGAGAGTTCTAATGAAAGCGTGTCAAGTGGTTGCAATGGGTGCTCCGGCCTTAGTCCCTGTTGATGTAGTTGAATATGGGACGGAAGGTGAGGAAGTAGAGGAACTCAAAGGCAGTGACTATGCTGAAGCCCATAATTAGGCCCAGCAGGCCACCAAATGAAGCTGTCAATGGAAATACCATAATCAGTATGGTGATTTATTGAATATTAAAGCCAACTTACCCAAGGCAGAGAGCCAGTTCTGGAAGATGTCCGTGCGATATCTGGTGCTCATCAAATCGCTGAAGAACACATGCAGCAGAATCCTGTCCGTGGCATTGCTGTAAGCAGAAAATGTGGAATTTAAGGTATTTCTATGGGTGTTTCAGAAACTTAGATTACCTATAAGCTGGCCGATTGGCAAAGTAGCTCATATCCAGCCTGCCCATGGTGCTCTCTGAAACGTAGTGATTCGACTGGCAATCCGGCAGACAGCCGCAGGGAAAACTATCCGTCTGCCGGACAATGGATAGCGAGAAATTCAAGTTGGCCAGGGCATGGGAAAAGAGTCCTAGGAAGGGTCATATACTAGTTACTTTTCTGGTCATTGGTTACACCACTCACTTTTGCTGTGGATCATGCAGTTGGTTTCCATCACGCCGCACACCTTGTAGCTGTTGTTGCTGTTGTACACATAAGGTGGCAGGCAGCCACAGAGGTCGATGGTCATCTTCACCCGGCACTCGAACATGCAGTTGATGAAGGAGTAACGCCTCAGGCTGTGCATGCTCCGCTCGCTACCAAAGAGGCAGTTCCTCAGGGACAGGTCCATGCGGCGAATGTCGCTGGTGGCATAGGTGGACTCCGGGTTAATGCGCACAAAACTCTCCCGGGTGGAGGTGACCACCTTGGTCTCTGAATTCTCGTCCGGAAAGTTGTAGGCGTCGTGCAGGAGCAGCCGGAAGCCGTAGCCACTGAAGAACGTGCCGTAATAGTCGGATACCATGGGATTGAGGAGCACAGAGAGACCCGTGGGATAGCCACAACCAGTGACACGATAGGGTCGCTTGGGCACCTGATATGCGATTTTCCTGAAATTGAGACAGAGATACATCCTTGATACATACTTGGCGAGGTTCATACTCTGGAAAGTTGTTGGTGATGCCCCCAAAGTAATTAAAGGTGCAGCACTGCCCCTCCATGGTGTCGATACGCTGGAAAAGGCTGTCGCAGCGCGTGTTTATCCCCTTCCAAATGCAGTTGGAGATCATGTCAATGCAGTCGGGCGACAATTGCTGTGTGAGACCTGTGAGTGTCAAGTTGTTAAGAGCTAAAATCCTGTCGTAGATCTGCAGTGAACTGTTGCTAATCAGGTTATCCATTGGCAGAAGGGTTAGATTGAAGAGGTTATGCAGCTCGGATTTATTCACACCAGCCGGAAGTTGCCTATAGATATTAAGAACCGATTAGGCTTAGGTTTATCTATATACTTTCCAACCTACATTTGCTGCAGCAAAGTAAATGCCTTCGTCTTGGATATCTTGTTGAAATTACAGATGGTAACCGCCGGAAAGGGTATGTTCCAGGTGGGAAAGTGTGAGCTCTCAATAACAGTCACTGTGGGTGTCTCCTGGCTCCAATACCAAGACACCACCACCAGAACAATGGAGGTGACAATGGCCAGGATAACCACCACCAGCCAGAAGTTCCGTTCGCGACGACTGATATCCTGGCGGGTGATGTAACTGAATCCATGCAGGGACGTCGTCTGACAGTAGTTTCGCATATTTTCGGAGAACCACTCTCTAATACGACGAAGGTGCCGATCTGGTTTGAGGGGATGAAGTGAGTGGTGCTCGCTACTCGGATTGCTACGCCTGTGACTGGAGGAAGCCTTGGAGGCCAGCTGCTGAGCCTGCACCTGACGCAGATCAAAGATGCGTCGCTTCTTGAACGCCATCTTATCGCAGTGAGCAACGATATACGACTACTGGTCAGTGCAAGAACTAATGGCAATTGGGACAGCTTCTAATTAGTTCACCCTAATGACTACGCTGGCTAGTACTTTCCGACTCGTCAAGGAGGAACGCCAAAAAACTTCAACCCATAAATAGTCTAGTTTTACCCTCAAAGGTTTCTATCAAAATATGAATAGTCTGATAATGGGCACCTTGCTGGTCATTAGCGGCTATGTCCATAAATGTGTGAGAGCTTACTCGTACATTGATGCCTTCCAACTCATAAACGTTGTTATAATTAACAAAATTCTAAGAAAGATATCCATAGAAACCACCAGGAACAGATCAAATCAAGGATGTTAGGTACGCAAAATTTATAGAAAAAGATATTGATATAAACAAAGAAGTCCTTAGCTAACAATGACATTGATTCCAGATTCCACAGAGAGAGGGACTTCTCCTAGTTAGCCCGTTCTTATGACTGCAACCTTTTGCCGCCTCCTCCAAAGTATCTGCTGGCGGGTCAGCCAATTGCAGGTGGGTCGCACACAGGTGAAGAAAACCAGCTCAAAGACCGACACAAAACTGCAGCCCATAAATAGTCCGGTAATGCCGCCAAAGGTGCCTGTATAAAAAACGGTTAGTTTTACCTGTAATGTACACCTTGTAGGTCATTAGTGAACTTGCCTATGAATGTCAGCCAATTTTCGTAGATATCCAGGACTTGCTCCTCAGCTATCGGTGTGTCGTAGTAAATGCGAAGTCGAACCTCATTTGGGGAAATTTGACTTAAGAAAAATTTATTAAATTTAAATTGATATTATTATATATATTTCTACGACAAATCAAATTTCTAAAGCGCATAACTAATTCAAAAAAGCATTAATTTCGATTCGGAAAGAGGTCCTACGTTAGTTTTTATTAGGTTAATAAATCTGAATACTTAAATTAAAATTTTAGGGGTATAATATAACCAATTAAAATCTAGGAACACTTTGCCTAGAATTACCTTGAGTCTCCAATACTATTGTTAGTCATCTCCTTTAAAAGTCGAATATCACCTTGAAACTCATAGCGATGGAATTGGCAAGGCGGAAGGCATTTGCATATCTTTTGTTCTTCATTGATTCGATCGGCATTATCTGTAAATATTGAGTAATTTGTTAACAATTCTTTAATTATTGTTCTTACTTGCCATAATTAATGGTGCACTGGATTTGCTGAAGGTCGCAGAGTGTCCAACCATTTCGACCGGGAGAGTTCGGGGGAATACAGCCGCAGGATCTGAAGATTCCTTCGCTGCGACACTCGGCCAAGCAATTTCCTTGGCTGTACACAGAAAAATTAAATAGACTTCGTTCTTTAGGTAAATAACAAGCTCTCTTGTCAAGATCTATGCTGTCCAGACTTTCTGTAAGTCGGTTAACAAAAGGTCGGACCATTAAATGAGCCTCAGATCTGCTGGGTACATGTAATTTCGGAGTGAAACCACTAGGTATTTCGTGAGATTCATGTATAAGGATCTCAAATCCAGCGGATGCAGTAGAAGAGCTTCCAAAGTCTCTATTATCAGAGCTTAACACCACACTAAGACCTAAACTCGAATAAAAACGCAGCTGTTGGTAATTAAAGCTGCAACACAGTCTTTGGTCGGGAGTCCAGATCGGATGCAGTTTTTCCCCACAGTTTTCCAAGCGATTTTCCCACTGACAGCTCTTGACTTGCTCACAGATCGAAGGACTTAGATCTTCCAGGAGTCGTAACCAACTTGCATTTCTATGCGATAGTTTTTCTGCTATGGAAGAGTTCAGATATCTCAACTCCCTCAGCTCATTCTCTGACACTCCCAACTCCCTTGATTTGGCAAGTAATCTTTCCTTGGAAATCTTATTGAGTCCACAAATGGTGACTGCAGGAAAGGAAACCTCTGATGTGGGCTTCATCATGGTGTCTATAAAGTGTATAGTGGGAGCTTCCCTACTCATCGAAAGAGACATAATCACAATGATGAATGAGAGCAGAACCGCGGTGCAAATGAGCAGCCACCAGAGGATTCTCTGCCAGGTTTTGGCCCCCACAAAAATGTGAAAGCCATGAATGCTGGCCATCTCACAGTAGATCTCAAAGCCCGTTTTCCGTTTGCACAGGCCATCGTCCTTGCGGGCACGCAGGAAGCCCAGAAATCTAGGCAAAGGCAGTTGTCCAAAGGATTTCGAGAGACTATAGTACCACCTCAGAAGTTTTAAACGCTTAAGGCTCCTTGTGAGATACGAGATTCGTCCTTTGGGCTTCTCAAAATGCTGAAGGGACTGACACTGGTTTAGTTTTTTGGGTTTCAGATAGTTTTCAAAATTGACCAGATATGTGGGTAATGGTGGTTCCAAAGTTTTCGACATGTTCCTAAAGTAACTCCTAATTATGAAGACAGTTTTGAATTAGTTTTTGTCGACTGACAGGATGACCTGCTGAAGGCTCCCTATATATATCCAAAAAAGTCATTAGGGATTTGTGTTTGGATCCACTTATCGGCCAGTAACCCGCCCTTCAGATGTTAAATATCCTTTGTTTTTTTTTGGAGAAGGCCTGTGTATGCCTAAACGTAATCGAGGCAGTGAATCAATTGTTGTCACACCCACCTCCAACAACTGGAGAAACAATTACCCACATTTTTTGTTGTTATTTGCCGGAGAACAAGTGGCTTAAGTAGCGATAAGCTCGGCAAATATTAATAGGAAATTGTTTACAGCCAAACCACAAACATTCTATAATATTATTATGTGAACTTCCTACTCGCGTCTCCCCGTTATTGTTATTGTTCCTGGCCATGCATTGGCCTGCTAATGAGTTTATTGTTATGCCAACCTGCCTCCCACAATTACGCTGTTCAAATATTCTGGCCGTGTTACCTGCATGAATGCCAACTGTCATCATCGCTCCAACTTTAAAATGGATTATTAGCCTTTGTCGGGGATTTTCCCCAATTCTATATTCGGGCCTTGGTTGGTGCCAAATCAGTTATCAGCCTTATTTTGATTTTCACGATTCGCTATCGCGTAATCCAGCAACACTAATCTGATCATTCAGAGTTATTAATGTGTCCGATCTGTGGAGATAAGCCCATTCAGGTTTGAGGGCATGGATTTGTAATTGGAGTCGTCGAAAGTTCAGAAAGTGTTTGCTGATTGCCACAATAAAGATTAGGTATTTATTTATTGGTTTTGGGTCTTTGTCCTGTATTTTAATAGAAATTAAAACACTTATGATTGAATAAAGAGCGTTGTTTTAGAAGTATTTCGGTTTGCATTACTACAGAAAATTGATTCAATTTTGCACGGGAAAAAGAGGAATCTCAATCAAAGAATCTTTTCTCCTTTCTTATATTATATTTTAAGAGGCATCTTGACATAAAACTGACAGGGGCACAGTATACTTTTAGGGCTGATTTAAACCCAAAAATGATTGATATAGGATCGGATCAAACCCAGAATTATTATTCAAAGCGCAGCATAACCCATATTTTCGCACGCGCCGCTTCATTTCACTAGCAAAGCCAAACCATGAAGCCCATGATAAATATTTGCTCTGCAATTATTTACGATTTTATTTGTGATTTGTGGCCGTAAAAGCGCACACAAAATTATTTGAATTCAATGGAAATGTAAGAGCCATAAATTTTTCCCCCGAATCGGGTTTCGCATGGATTTAATTAGCCGGCTTTTGTTCCCTATTTTGTTTATTATTATAATCTTGCAGGGTATTATATTTTTAGGTAGAAGTTTGCAAAACAGTGAAGGAGTCATTTCCGACCCTATAAATCCTATATATTCTTGATCAGCATAAAAAGACGAGTCGATTTAGCTATCTCTGGAAGAAAACAAAATTTTTGAAAATTGTTCAATTTTTTCAAAAAATGATAAGGGGTTACATCATTTAAATTGTCAAAAATTGTCAAAATTTTTCATAATGAGTTGAGTATGCAGATTTATTAATCTAAAAAACTAAAAACTAGCATAGGAAAGCTTTCCATATTAAAATTAATGCCTGTTTGGCTTAGTTATGAGTTTTTCAAACTTTGATTTGTAGACAAAAATTTTCATAAAATATATACAAATTCAAATTTAGTTATAATCTTTTTCCTATTCGTTTTTATAATTCATTTGCAAGGGTATATTACTTTCGTCTTCGCAGCTATATTTTTTATATTCTTTTTTATTTATTAATTTTGTTGTTGGTCTGTTCCCGGTCCTGGGTTGGCCAAGGTTCCCGAATCTCTCTAATGATATTCCGGACGCCTGCTCATTTGCATACCACGTGCCGCGGGTATGCCTGATGTCTGCCGATGATGTCTGACCATATATTACACAATTATGGATCCGATGTCGGGCCCTGATAAGGAGCTGGGAGCGCAGCTGAATCAGCTGCTTGGCTGGGACAGATGCACTCCCAGCCTGCGACTGCGACTTGGTTTATTTTCGGTTGAATTTCGTATTTTTATTTCATAATTTATAAATAAAACCGAATGTAACGGTGTTCAAGGCGAGTTTCGATCGACGTTTTGCGTCACGCAACGGTAAAGACAAGTGTATATATCAATGGGTATTATAAACACCCCCCAGATCCCGATCCCTCCCCCTTTGACCGACTGTCGTGGCCCTGAAAGAAGCTGCTATTTTCGGCATAAACTCATTTTGTTTGCGATAAGCCCAGAGATGGATTCGCCTGCCTGCCAGCCCGCCATCCCTGATCCGTCATCCGTCGGGTTGTTGTTTCCAGGCGGCGCCCCCCACGGAGCTGTGTGTCTTGTCTTGGATTTTATTATCATCTGTCGCTGATTTATGTGGACGCAGCTCGCGATCTTTTCTATAGATTTTTTTTCGCACCAAACTAGAGCGAGGCTAATCTCTTGCTGCAATTGACGCAAATTGATTTTGCACTCGAAATCGAACGTTCTCCCTTGGCTTCGATTCATGCTAACTACGACCCCACTGTGAATGAGCTGTTCCAAAATGAAATAAAAGGGGAAAGAACGTGCCGGGTTTCTACGATGCATAAAACGTGATCGCCCCACTGGGAGTCGTGTAATCCACTCCTGGGGGTCACTGGTTCACCACCAGGCCACCAGATGATCGTCTTCGAATGCATGCATCCAGGGGATACACAAGACATGTGCACAGATGGGCTATACAATCCTAGGGGGCTACTTACAGGCTTATTAGTAGTATCTTTTAGTTTAACTTGGCGTATTTTAGTCATATATTTAAGGGAAATTAAACATGTGATTTATCTTATATTTAAGTAATATAGCAATCAAAATGAAGCTTACTTGGAGAAACCAAGGTTTGTATACCCTTGAAGTTTTCCATGGGATCATGGGTTTATAACTAAGTCAGTAATCTTAGCTTGAAAGATTTTCTATTTTATTAGGGAATTATTGACTATTTGGCCTTCGTATACCACTAAGAAAACCCCCAAAAATACTAAATTCCAAATACATTTCTTTATGCTAATTTTTTAGGTATATTACAGTTTTTCAAATATCATAACTTAGTCAAATATGCATCAATTTCATTTCGGATTTCAATTCTGTGCTAGTTTTTAAATAGTTAACAAATCTGCATACTGACTTTTAAGATTTTGAAAATTACATTTTTTGTCAAATTTTGACCATTTTAATGATGTAACCCCTTATAAAATTTTCAAAATTTTGAAAAAAAATTAATTTTTGCCGGACATGGCTAGATCGATTCAACTGTTGATGCTGATCAAGAATATATATGATTTGTGGGGTCGGAAACGACTTCTTCACCGCGTTTTGAGCTTCTGACTGAAATTATGATACTCTGTAAGGGTATAATAAAGTATCTTCAGGATAGATTTTCTAATCGGAATCCATGCAGAAAAAACTCTTTAAAATGCGTCTACCCTTTGGAAATTAATAGTAATTTAATTCTTTAATTCCATTTTATCAGTGTTAAGAAAGTACTTTTTAAATTATGATCAAGTGCTCCCTTAAAAAGAATTTTATAAAAACACCAAAATCGCTGAATTACTGAAGGATGACATAATGCGTTCGGAAAGAAAGTATCTTGAAGATTGTTTTTGCTCTGCCGGCAGAGATTTAATTGCCATTTCGGGAGATGCCTTCGATTACGATCATGATCACGAGTGGCTAAAACACAAGGCATCCGTTGTTTTCTGTTTTTCTCGCCGTTACGGATCGCTTGGCTCGAATCAATCAAATTGTTTACACGCCCGTAAATAATTATTCTTCTTTTGTTTATTTGTTGTTACCGCTGCTGTTGTTGCCCAGATTCTAATTTTAATTGTATTTGTGGCTTCTCCCGTTCTTTTTATTTGAGCTTTATTCAACGCTTATGACCCCGCGATTATCGGCGATGGAGAGCATTGCTTTTACGGCTTTGGCCTTATCAGCGGCTCGCGCCATTCACATGCTGGGACACTATTTTTAGTCACCGCAAATAATGAATGCGAAAATCATTCACAAACCTAATGATAGCCAGGTTGATAGCCCCTGGAGGAGTGCAGAATCAGAAGCCGAGGCAAACAAAGCAAACTCATCAACAACTATCATCGGAAGTGGAGGCATTGTGTTGCCATGCCAGGACACTTCAATTGTGATCGTGACAGCGGAAATTATTCTGTAGTTTCTCCGGAAACTGCCCTTGAGTTTCTCTCTCTCTCTATTCTTTATAAAAAATCCCACAATAAGTCAATTAAAGTGTTTACACAACCCACTGACGTTTCTCATCGGTTTGGGCAAAAATCTTCCATAAAAACTGTGTGATCCCCGATGCTCCTTATCAGGGATGTGCCTCATTGTGACGTCAGTCTGGTCAGCCCATATTCTGGACAATCTGGGAATTAATCTACTGGAATTTCTAGGAAAGTTTTCAAAAAAAAAAAATATATATATTTGATAAATGGAATGTCATTTCCTGTCAATTTCTTTTAATAAACTTTACTAAGCAAAATGTTTTTGAACATCTCAGTCTTTAGAACTCATCTTATAAGAAATGGTATTCAATTTCATCATCCATGCCATGCTCTAAGCTCGATTATTCAGTGGAACGTTCTCTACCCTCTAGAATATATTTTATAAGAGTTGTTTCGTATTTTCCCAACACGCTTGGCCTGTGCACTCCATCTTTGTTTGCCTTTTCCACAATGGGGGAAACCACAAAATGGCATATTTAGATATTGTAGGGTTCGGCCATGGACTTCAGCTGGTTAAATACACGGTTTAACCTGCGGTTTACACGCTTTTTGCCTCTTTTATAAGTAAAGTCAAACACTGAACCCCAAACAGATACGCAATGGGAAATGCACAGAGCTTATTGGAACATTCTAATGAACGATTTAACAAATACTTTAATCAATAGATCAATATATATAGAAGAAATATTTTAATACAAATATTGACAAGTCAACGATCCAGCCAGCCTTCGGCCTGCCTTATTTGATAACCAAAGTAAATGGAATAAGAAATTCGCAATCAAACATTTTGAAATGCAGATCAGATATATGGCCAAACTGAACCTTGGGGATCCTTTTTAAAATGCATTTTACCCCATTTTAACCAATGCCACATGATACAGATACGAGAGCTCAGCTTTAGCCTCCCAATTCGGTTTTTATAGCTGAGCAATTTAATTGTTCGAGGCGGCGCCAAGCTGGTGCTCTCCCGCCATATACATTTGAATCTATAGATCGGCAGACACACTCCCACACATAGGGAGTATGCTAATGAGGAACACAGAGGTTTTTTATTTTTTCGGCGAGCTTAATACTGTGACGTCAGGGAAGTCATTGAGCTATAATTTAATAACGAACAACTATAGCAAACATTCGTTGGAGTACCAGAGTGTCTCTCTGTCTGTGTCTGCTGCGTATGATTGAAAGCCGAACAAGAGGAAGAGAATCCAGCAAAGCTACCTGAGCGCAATATTAAGTTACGATTCCGATTCCGATTCCAAAAACCAAAAACCAAAAACCGAATCCGAACTCGAATCCGATTCTGACTCGGCTACGATAAAGTCGCGAGATTAAAAAAGTCAAGTGACAAGACAGCGGCCAAGTGCGTCAATCGCGAAACAACAAACTCACTGTCTGAGTACAAAAGTCCGTTGCTGCATCTGGAGGAGGAGGAGGAGGAGGTGGCTTTGTCTTGGCTCTGGCTCTGGCTTCTTTGTCTGTCCTGTCCACTGGTGCGTGCAGATGGCCCATCCTCAACCTCCTCCTCCGGCTACTCCTTAAGCGCCGGACAGATCGTGACAAAGAAATTACACGGTCATATTGTGTTTGACGTCAGGGCCTACGATGATGATCAGTGATCAGGGTCTGGAACACCGGGGCTGGGCATTTATCCCGTAAAGTTGGGACGCTTGATTATTCACTCAAGTGGGAAGTGCCATTTGAATCGAGATGTGAGATGCGCCGCACTGATGATGAAATCTGCCTAATTGAAGTGCAGCCCCAGCAATGCAATGCCAGTATTTAAAGGGGTATCAGTTGGGTGACATAACATAAAGATAAGGAAGTCTGTAATCTTCACTTAACTTGCAAGTGTTTATGCTCGGTTTAAGCTCTCAAATTCTCTCGAATTATACTGTAATCCTATACTTTATATGCACACTTTTCTTGAAAAAGATTCGCTTTAATAACCCAATACCATATGTGTAAGTACTAATCATTCCATTTGATGGCTCTGTTTTGCCGAGAACCAGTTCTAGGTTGCTGGAACTGGATAATGTTGGGGAAATGGCTTGTGCCTGGTCACGTGCCCGGGAAACTATTGTTACTCATACGCCACGTTGACGCCTGCAGACGCAAAGTTCAACGCATTTCCGAGACAGTTTTCCAAGTCATTACCATTGCCCTGGTGCTGGCTTTGCATTACAATTACCGTGACGAGCGATGCGACAACTGACTGACTGACTGACTGCTGACGCAGCTGCCATGTGGGGAGCCGGAGGAGGAGGAGCACCAGCATGGCGACTGCAACTCGAACTCGGGGTTTGTATGTCACTCAGACCCGGGACTGACGCACGCATCCCCAAGAGGGAGCCACAAACGGGAGCGGGATGTGGATCGAATCTGTACCGAAATCCGAGACGACCGCGTTCCATGATAAATAATACATATAGTCGAGTATATCACCCGGACGATGGCCATGAACTCGCTGCGGGTTCTGCAGAAAATTGGCGCAGATTTCTGTTTGCATAATCCCCCAAGATCCCCGATCCCAAGACGTTGCGCAGTTTGGCCGGGGATTAGCATTGCAGATGGGTCCGGGAATTGCGCCGGAGTTCAACAGCAGCTGAGAGCCGCGTTGGTTCAATGTCTGACCTTAGATGGCGCCATGGGAGGGCGACATCGCGCCATCTGGACACCAGATTCCACCACTCTTCAAGATCACCCTTTCTGCGCACATAAAGTCAATGTTGTTTTGCTTGTCTAGGATTTTATGAGTGCTTTCCAGCTTTAATGTATTCGCTTTCAGTTGTTTTCCCTTTCTTTGCAAGGCGAAATTCTCGGTAAACAAGTCTCTTTGACGAGCCCTCCCCAGAATAGAAATGTCGCATTTGGAATTCCTTGTTTACTATATAGTACGCATCGTACTATAGATGCGGATTAATCTCAATACGGGTTGGTGGAATCATCGTGACATTTGCATTCCGCGAACACTATCACACCCCAAGGTGTGGAAAATGTAAATGGTAATGGGTTTTTTTGAAGGTTGTAAACATATAAATATTTGATTAAACAAATCCTTTTGAGGGATGTTAATATATTACTCATCAGATGTTTACTTTGCTGAATCCTATGATTTATTTATTCCCTAGAAAGCTCTTTCTTTGGAAATTGTTATAAAATTCTTTTGATTATCGGAATATTTTTAGGGAATACCTATCAAGAATTTATGCGATTTTCCAGCATTTCTATTGATTCTTGGTAATCAATTTTTGGTTTATCTTATTTATTGTTAAATCTGATCCCTCCTACTTTGCTTTCTCGCTCTTCCAGCGGCTCATTCCTGAAATATCCAGACGAGTAATTCTTTTCCAGAGAGGGTGTAGCCCCCATCACGATCTCTTTCTCTCTTGGACTCTCTCCCCAGCTCTCCAAGTGCTCCAAGTGCTCCAAGTGCTCCAAGCAAAAGCTCAGAGAGAGAGAGAGAGAGAGAGAGAGAGAGTAAAAGCTTCGTGCTTTGGCGATCACAAAAGTGGCTGCCATATGGCGAAACCAGTTAGTCGTTTTCCAGATCGAAGCCAGCGAACGCAACTCGCCTCGATTCGCGCGATCGCCAGTGCTATATATATAACCACACACATATCCAAGATATATATATATACAGTTCCCTTCGGGGCGGAGAGTTATAGATAAACGCCTAGCGGAAAGGCAGTGCAAAAACAAAGCGCAGTTAGATAAAGATAACACAGTTCCCATGCCAAGAGGCGCACAGTGCAAGTGAAGTGAAACGAGAACGCAGTTGAGTGGCAACAGGGAAATACGGAGGAGACATTAGCAAAACTGAGGAGGAGGAGAGTCGTCTCGATATCGGAATAGGAATGCAAATGTGATACACGAGCGAGCTCCCTTCCAACGCCATAGATATACTCTACAATCTACACTTAGAACAAAAACTAACCAAGTGAAACCGAATGACTATGACTTCAACGGTGCTCCAGCGGCCAGTTCAAGCCAAGCCAGATCGTGGTGGAGCCTCCACAAAGTCATCCAAGTCATCCAGTGCCAGTGCCAACCGAAGCAATCGCTCCACCATGGCCTGGTCCAATGAGAAGCTGCGCTTCTCCTGCATCGACAACATTGGGCTCAAGCAGCTCTGGAAGCTGATTGCCCTGGACACGGGTGCCTCCTCCAAGCAGCGTAGTGCCATGATGCTGGAAGTGGAGCAACAGCAGCAGCAGCAGCAGCAGCAGCAGCAGCAGCAATCGAACAATAACAACGAGGTAAGTGGCCGAAAGAAAAGAAAGCTTGTAAGCCGCAAGCAAACCGTGCAGAGTGACGTCAATTGGTGTGGAGGATTGGGGCAACGCATCCACATCCGCGTAGAAAGCCAAACACTTGCAGAGAAAGTGGCCAAAAAAAAGAGTAGAGAAATAATAATAAGCGACAGACAAAGGGCCACGGACAAACTCCGTTTCCGACTCCGACTCCGGGCCTTGGATGACGTCTGCGAGTGTTGGGGGGGGGGTCTGTGTTGAAACAACTGTGGGCACAACCCAAACCCAGTCACCCCGCGAGCTATGCGAAATGCAAACAGAGAGTAGTGTGTGGGAGATCTGCGGCGGGTGGACTGGAATTCCAGTAATCCACGTAACGCCAATTTGCATACTACTCTGCGCTAATTAAAGACGGACGGACGGACGGACGCAGCCGGACAGGGCCAGTTATGACAGATTGCGAGATGAGGATGAGGAGGCGTCACATGTCCGCCAGCGGACACAACACAATCGAATCGATTCATTCCATTGCGTTTCATTAAAGACAATTGATTCGTTGACAAAGGCACTCAGTGCAGAGACAAAGAAGCTGTTCAGTCAAGTCCTTATTTCTCTCAGTTTATTGACTCTTTCCCGGGCTTGCTTTTCGCTCAGTGTAGCCGATCCAAGCCCCAAAGCAACCTCTTGAGCATTTCAAGTGCCGGCAGCCCACACTTGAAGCCGCGACCTCAGCCGTCGTCAGCTTAGATCAAGGCTTCCCCAGAGATCGGATCGAGCACTAATCTAGTTTCTAGCTGAAAGCCAGGTTATTCCCCCGCCTTGGGTTGTCGCCAAAATTTTTAATTGGAACTTAGTCAGAGATGAGAAGTCGCCGCCAAGCCAATGTCGAACTTTCGCATTGTGATTCACCTGGATTTTCGTGTAAGCGACGATGAATGCAGCTTGGCTTTGGGAAAGACAACGTTATTCATGATTGACGCAAGTCGCTGGAGGGTCTCGGGTCTACAGATCCGGTTCTCCGCGGATTAACAGTTACTCATGGCCATACTAGAACTGCGACTTAGAACCACAAGAGAGTGTGAAGACCGTCTTTTCAAATAGTTTCTGCCGGATCTCAGCTTCTGCTGATCTTGCGGATGGGTTAAGTTAAAAGACAACAAGTAAATATACCATATACATATCATTTTTTAAGCCAACTGGTTTGAACACCCTACTTCACCGCCAGGCGAGCCCCTCGCCCCCCTTTGGACCGCGGTATTGACGTCAATGCAAATATGAACTCCCGCGAGACTATCGATATATCGATGATCGAGGAGATCCCCCAGACAGTCTGGGCCAAGTTGGGACGTCCGCTGTCCTCTTCATGTCAGGGTTATGTTCCACAAAACTCCCAGTCCGCGAAGGCTGCCAACTTGCACCTGAGATCCGCCGATCAGAGATCAGAGATCCTGGAGGCAGGAAACCAGTTTTGTGGGGCAGGCAACCGCAGGTTCAGGGCCAAGATCGACAGATCCAAGCCCTCGGGGCCTTGGACCTCAACAGGGTGCCAGCGCAGATCTATGCTCTAGGTTCTTGCCACATAACAAAATAAATATATATGTTTATATTTCGGCAGGTTGATTTTGTTTAATTAACGGCTCAGCTAACGCGCCTTGACGTCACGCGCATAAATTGATTTAAGCAAAGTTTTTTTTGTGTGTGTGTTTTAATTTCGAAACCTTTTTATTTTTGTATTTTTGTTGCTAATGCTGAGTTGGTCTGCTTCGGTGTCTGTTTCTGTCGGTTAACACGTTCGTCCGCCGGCTATAGAAAATGTTAAGTAGTCATAAATAAACACTACTAAACTGTGAGCTTAGCTTAAACGTTGGAACGGCGAAACCTAAAAATAACCCCGCGGCTGGAAACGCGGCCAAGTCGCCTGCGAAACGCCACCAGAACGCACTCAGAACTTGAAGTTTAGCTCGAAATCGAAGTCAGAATCAAAATCACTCAAGCGAGAAGTGCTGTAATTTTTTACTTTTTCTTAATTATTGTTTTGCACATTTTGCGGTTTCGCTTTGAATCTGTCACAATCGCTTTTCGCTGAGTTGAGTGAGGTTTTCCCGGGGCAATTTTCGCACACACGAGTGCTCCCCGAATCGCTGATTCTGCTCCCATCCAGCGATGAGATAATTAAACATGCCATTCATGGCACATAAAAGTGAAGTAATATGTTCTAGGGCAACGAGAGTGACGCACTTAAAACTGTTCCAAATGAATGCCTAAATGCTAATTTCTCCGCCTAAGGCTGGCGTACGTGCAAAAATGTGCGAATATCAAGGGGCTATGCGATTTACTCTGTAGTAAATGCAGTTGTAAAACGAGTAGTCAATGAATAAAAGCCGCTGACGTCGACTAGATCGATCGGTGGCTATAATTATACCATAGTAAGTGTGTGTAAGGTGTAAGGTCAGCGCTGACGACATGAAAATCCTACCTCGAATATTGGTTAACCAAATTCGATCCCAATCGAATGTGACATCTTATTAGCGCCTTAATTGATACATTATGGCAGGGGCTTTTTGGTTTATATGTTTAATATGGAAATTCGATAGGAGAAGGTCAACGAATCGAGCTGCTAACTATATATGTATTGCCTCATCAGCCAGAACGGGCCTCTCCTAAAATTATCATATAAACTAATCAAATTCTTGTTTACAAATTCCTCATTTACGAACTGGAGATGTTGACCAAGTGTGTGCTTCCTGTAGATCGAGCGAGCCTCTTTAATTACCATAAAATTCTGATATCTATGTAAATTTCACAATTGAAAACATTCTTCCAGTCATGTTTACCTGCTGATTATGCGCCATTCATTATCTCTAACCCATATTAAGCCAGGGCTTTCGCACCCTCAAATTAAATATTTGCCAGTGGGATGATAAGACCCAAGATCAGGCCACAGCAGTGAGCAGATAAGAATCGCTATGACCGTGGCATCGGGTATTCACTGTACTCATCCGATCCATCCAAGCTACCCTTTCCCGTGACGAATTTGTGCCACATATGCAAATTTGACAACGACTTACGTAAAGATCGCAATCGGGGCAATGCTATTAACCCGGGAGATTACGACGATCCAAGGGATCTCTGTTGGAAAAGACGCAGCGTTATCTGGGCAGTTAAGATACGATAATGGTGGGGACAGATAAGGCGGCGGAGTGGCGATTAAACAAGAGCAGCACAGCAGAACGGAGGCTATATAAAGATAAACAAGTTCCGCGGCATTTACCTTAATTAGTTAATTAATCAAAGCGGTGCCTGGCTGGTGGCTTGCTTGGGAGTGAGGATCGTATCGGATCGCCTTCTACGCTGACAGATCGTTATTTGTTATGGCCAAATGCTTATGGCTCAATTCGCATAGGCAGGCAGCACAAACAAACACAAACTGCTGGTGACAAACAGCGGCAACGCCAACTTTGCATACTAAGTGCCTCATTAGGGACACGGCAGTGCCGTAAACCACACACGACGACCCATCAAGCAGCGCCGTCTTATTTTATTTCACATTTTGTATAAGCGTAAACAAATCGAAGCCGCTCAGAATATTTAGCCAATGCATTCATTCGGCTTGAATAATTAATTAACACCTCTGTATTCGCGTGAGTCACAATCTAGGTTCGGTTCTAGTCAAAGTATCAATCATTAATGCAAAAAAAAGGAACATTAAATTTATTCGCATAATATTTGGGTTGTTCCACTAATAAAACTCTGTGTTCTTGGGTTTATTTTATAAAATGCAACACAGTTTTGTTTACGAATATGTCCTCTGTTGGATTTCATTAGCATTAGACTGTTAATTTTTTATTAAATTCACTTTCTGAGATACAAATGTGTATCTCAATGACTTAGTTTAGTGCCTCTTGAAGCTCTTACTTACCTCTTTTGTTCTTTCTTTTATTTACAGCGGATTCCTTATGAGAACTGCGACAACTTGGCCGACTATTTGAGTCTTCAAAGAGCGGCCCAGGCTCAGAAGCTCAACCAGAATCAGAATCAAAACCAGAACCAGAACCAGAACCAGAGCCAAAACCACATCCAGTCCCAGGCTCCGGCCCAGATGTCACTGCTCAAGTTCTTGGCCATCGTAAGTACCCGTTGTTTACACACTCCAGTCCCGTCCAGCTCCGTCCGCTTCCTGCCTCGGACAATGTGCGATCGCTTGGCCCGGCCTGGCGGGTGGGTTGAGTGCATAAATTTCACGTTTACGAGGCTCGGGGCGTGGCCGTGGGACTGGCAAATAAAATTTGCTTCATTATTTATAATCGTGGAAAGACAGACAGTAATGTCTCGCCCCTTGTGCAGGAGCAAGGAGCCCGTTCCCAGCCACAATAACGCCATTAAAATGCAATGCAATTTTTGTGAAACTCCTATTTATTTTATTCTTTCTCTTTTGTCTTACAGAACGCCTTGGAGCTGAGCGCCCCAGCTACCCCGCATCTCCTCCAGCACCAGCAGACACAGACTCAGGTCAAGCCCCAGGGCTGGATGCAGCTGTCCGGTCACCCCGAGAGCATTGTTCCCACGTCCACGGGAATCGTGCGAAAGCGAATTGTCGGGATTGAGGATAGCGAGGTCCATGCCTACCGATGGATTTGCCAAGAGCCGCAGACTGCCCAGATTGTGCCCGCTTACTTTGGGATGCGGGAGATGCAGTCGCAGCACTATATCGAGCTTCAAGATCTCCTCGCCGGCTTCCGGGACCCATGCGTGATGGACATCAAGATGGGCAGCCGCACCTTCCTTGAATCGGAGGTCAGCAACGCCACTCTGCGGCCCGATCTCTACCAGAAGATGATCGCCGTGGATGCTGGGGCACCCACACCGGCAGAGCACGAGGCGAGAGCCATTACCAAGCTGCGATACATGACCTTCCGGGAGTCGCTCTCCTCCTCCCACTCCAAGGGCTTCCGGATAGAGGCCCTGCGCCTGCGCGGACGTCCACCCATCAAGGACTTGAAGACCTGCCGCACCAGCGAGCAGATTGGCCAGACCATCGAACAGTTCCTGGCCGCCCGCAGGTCCGTGCAGAAGGAGCTGCTGAAGCGGCTCAAGCACATGCGCCTGGTCATCGAGCAGTCGTCCTTCTTCGCCCGCCACGAGATCGTCGGCTCCAGCATCTTCATCGTCTACGATGACGACCGCGTTGGTGCCTGGCTGATTGACTTCGCCAAGTCCCGGGAGCTGCCCCCGCAAGTGCGGGTGGATCATCGAAGCGCCTGGACGCCGGGCAACCGGGAGGAGGGTCTGCTCCGGGGCATGGACGAGCTGATTCGCGCCTTCGAGGACGTCTACGCTCGCAGCGGCTCCCACCGCAGCTGCCTCAAGATATGATCAAGATCCAAAGCAGTGGCTGGACTTGCGCACCAAAAGACTGATCATCACCCAAGCTCCATTCTGTACAGAAAGAGGAAAAAATGAATAGATAGGATTCATCGCATCGGCCGCTCTTGGGCCACACCCTATAAAGTTACCTTATTCTTTTCCATATTGGAAAACCCCGCCGAAGGCTTAGAAACTACAAAGCTGGAGGAGAAATTAACGATTAGTATTGATCACCAAGCAGCATTTGTTTGAGAAAAACAGGTCTAAAATAAGTATTTGTGGAAAAAGATATAAAGCTGAACGCAAAAATAAATGAGATAAGAAAATTAATGATTTGTCTTTTTTTTATTTCGGTAATAATTTAAAGAAACAAACTCAGAGAATAGTAATTACCAACTCCCTAAGAAAAATGTAATCAATAATTAGTGGAAGAACCAAATTTTTAAAGCCTCACCAACTTTTCTACATATTAATTTAAAAAATATCATAAATTTCAATAACTAAGCCAAAAACGCATTAATTTCAATTCGGAAAGCGGCCTTATGTTAATTTTTAGCAGGTTAATAAAACTGCATACTCGATTTAAAATGTAAATTTTTGGCCGATTTTTGCAAATTTTTAACCCCTTTCCTTTTTAAAAAAAATGGGAAATTTCAGAAAAAAATTGTTTTCGGCCGGAGATGGCTAGAAAGATTCGCCTGTTGATGCTGATCAAGAATATATATATGATTTATAGGGTCGGAAATGACTCCTTCACTTTCTCTTAAGCTTCTGACTGAAGGTCCATTACCATTTTTTAACCGATATTAACTATTTTTTTTAATCAAATTTTTCGACAAACCAAAATTTACAAATCTCATAACTAAGCCAAAAACGCATTAATTTCAATTCGGAAAGCGGCCTTATGTTAATTTTTAGCAGGTTAATAAAACTACATACTCAATTTAAAATGTAAATTTTTGGCCGATTTTTGCAAATTTTCATGATGTAACCCCTTTCCTTTTTTAAAAAAATGTGAAATTTTAGAAAAAAAATTGTTTTCGGCGGGAGATGTCTAGAAAGATTCGCCTGTTGATGCTGATCAAGAATATATATGATTTATAGGGTCGGAAATGACTCCTTCACTTTCTTTTAAGCTTCTGACTGAAGGTCTATTACCATTTTTTAACCGATATTAACTATTTTTTTTTAATCAAATTTTTCGACAAACCAAAATTTAAAAATCTTATAACTAAGCCAAAAACGCATTAATTTCAATTCGGAAAGCGGCCTTATGTTAATTTTTAGCAGGTTAATAAAACTGCATACTCAATTTAAAATGTAAATTTTTGGCCGATTTTTGCAAATTTTCATTTTCCCTTTCCTTTTTTTAAAAAAATGGGAAATTTCAGAAAAAATTGTTTTCGGCGGGAGATGGCTAGAAAGATTCGCCTGTTGATGCTGATCAAGAATATATATGATTTATAGGGTCGGAAATGACCCCTTCACTTTCTTTTAAGCTTCTGACTGAAGGTCCATTACCATTTTTTAACCGATATTAACTATTTTTTTAATAAAATTTTTCAATAAACCAAAATTTAAAAATCTCATAACTAAGCCAAAAACGCATTAATTTCAATTCGGAAAGCGGCCTTATGTTAATTTTTGGCAGGGTAATAAAACTGCATACTCAATTTAAAATGTAAATTTTTGGCCGATTTTTGCAAATTTTCATGATGTAACCCCTTTCCTTTTTTTAAAAAAATGGGAAATTTCAGAAAAAATTGTTTTCGGCCGGAGATGGCTAGAAAGATTCGCCTGTTGATGCTGATCAAGAATATATATGATTTATAGGGTCGGAAATGACTCCTTCACTTTCTTTTAAGCTTCTGACTGAAGGTCCATTACCATTTTTAACCGATATTTACTTTTTTTTAAATTAAATTTTTCAACAAACCAAAATTTAAAAATATCATAACTAAGCCAAAAACGCATTAATTTCAATTCGGAAAGCGGCCTTATGTTAATTTTTGGCAGGGTAATAAAACTGCATACTCAATTTAAAATGTAAATTTTTGGCCGATTTTTGCAAATTTTCATGATGTAACCCCTTTCCTTTTTCTAAAAAATGGGAAATTTCAGAAAAAAATTGTTTTCGGCCGGAGATGGCTAGAAAGATTCGCCTGTTGATGCTGATCAAGAATATATATGATTTATAGGGTCGGAAATGACTCCTTCACTTCCTTTTAAGCTTCTGACTGAAGGTCCATTACCATTTTTTAACCGATATTACCTATTTTTTTTTTATGAAATTTTTCAACAAACCAAAATTTAAAAATCTCATAACTAAGCCAAAAACGCATTAATTTCAATTCGGAAAGCGGCCTTATGTTAATTTTTAACATTAATAAAACTGCATACTCAATTTAAAATGTAAATTTTTGGCCGATTTTTGCAAATTTTCCTGATGTATCCCCTTTCCTTTTTTTAAAAAAATGGGAAATTTCAGAAAAAAATTGTTTTCGGCAGAAGATGTCTAGAAAGATTCGCCTGTTGATGCTGATCAAGAATATATATGATTTATAGGGTCGGAAATGACTCCTTCACTTTCTTTTAAGCTTCTGACTGAAGGTCCATTACCATTTTTTAACCGATATTTACTTTTTTTTTTTAATTAAATTTTTCAACAAACCAAAATTTAAAAATCTCATAACTAAGCCAAAAACGCATTAATTTCAATTCGGAAAGCGGCCTTATGTTAATTTTTAGCAGGTTAATAAAACTGCATACTCAATTTAAAATGTAAATTTTTGGCCGATTTTTGCAAATTTTCATGATGTAACCCCTTTCCTTTTTCTAAAAAAATGGGAAATTTCAGAAAAAAATTGTTTTCGGCCGGAGATGGCTAGAAAGATTCGCCTGTTGATGCTGATCAAGAATATATATGATTTATAGGGTCGGAAATGACCCCTTCACTTTCTTTTAAGCTTCTGACTGAAGGTCCATTACCATTTTTTAACCGATATTAACTATTTTTTTTTAATGAAATTTTCGACAAACCAAAATTTAAAAATCTCATAACTAAGCCAAAAGCGCATTAATTTCAATTCGGAAAGCGGCCTTATGTTTATTTTTAGCAGATTAATAAAACTGCATACTCAATTTAAAATGTAAATTTTTGCCCGATTTTTGCAAATTTTCATGATGTAACCCTTTCCTTTTAAAAAAAAATGGGAAATTTCAGAAAAAAATTGTTTTCGGGCGGAGATGGCTAGAAAGATTCGCCTGTTGATGCTGATCAAGAATATATATGATTTATAGGGTCGGAAATGACTCCTTCACTTTCTTTTAAGCTTCTGACTGAAGGTCCATTACCATTTTTTAACCGATATTAACTATTTTTTTTTAATCAAATTTTTCGACAAACCAAAATTTAAAAATCTCATAACTAAGCCAAAAGCGCATTAATTTCAATTCGGAAAGCGGCCTTATGTTTATTTTTAGCAGGTTAATAAAACTGCATACTCGATTTAAAATGTAAATTTTTGGCCGATTTTTGCAAATTTTCATGATGTAACCCCTTTCCTTTTTTTTAAAAAATGGGAAATTTCAGAAAAAAATTGTTTTCGGCCGGAGATGGCTAGAAAGATTCGCCTGTTGATGCTGATCAAGGAAATATATGATTTATATTGTCGGAAATGACTCCTTCACTTTCTTTTAAGCTTCTGACTGAAGGTCCATTACCATTTTTTAACCGATATTAACCATTTTTTTTTTAATGAAATTTTTCGACAAACCAAAATTTACAAATCTCATAACTAAGCCAAAAACGCATTAATTTCAATTCGGAAAGCGGCCTTATGTTAATTTTTAGCAGGTTAATAAAATTGCATACTCAATTTAAAATGTAAATTTTTGGCCGATTTTTGCAAATTTTCATGATGTAACCCCTTTCCTTTTTTTTAAAAAATGGGAAATTTCAGAAAAAATTGTTTTCGGCCGGAGATGGCTAGAAAGATTAGCCTGTTGATGCTGATCAAGGAAATATATGATTTATATTGTCGGAAATGACTCCTTCACTTTCTTTTAAGCTTCTGACTGAAGGTCCATTACCATTTTTTAACCGATATTAACCATTTTTTTTTTAATGAAATTTTTCGACAAACCAAAATTTACAAATCTCATAACTAAGCCAAAAACGCATTAATTTCAATTCGGAAAGCGGCCTTATGTTAATTTTTAGCAGGTTAATAAAATTGCATACTCAATTTAAAATGTAAATTTTTGCCCGATTTTTGCAAATTTTCATGATGTAACCCCTTTCCTTTTTTTAAAAAAATGGGAAATTTCAGAAAAAATTGTTTTCGGCGGAAGATGTCTAGAAAGATTCGCCTGTTGATGCTGATCAAGAATATATATGATTTATATTGTCGGAAATGACTCCTTCACTTTCTTTTAAGCTTCTGACTGAAGGTCCATTACCATTTTTTAACCGATATTAACCATTTTTTTTTTAATGAAATTTTTCGACAAACCAAAATTTACAAATCTCATAACTAAGCCAAAAACGCATTAATTTCAATTCGGAAAGCGGCCTTATGTTAATCTTTAGCAGGTTCATAAAACTGCATACTCAATTTAAAATGTAAATTTTTGGCCGATTTTTGCAAATTTTCATGATGTAACCCCTTTCCTTTTTTTAAAAAAATGGGAAATTTCAGAAAAAAATTGTTTTCGGCGGAAGATGTCTAGAAAGATTCGCCTGTTGATGCTGATCAAGAATATATATGATTTATATTGTCGGAAATGACTCCTTCACTTTCTTTTAAGCTTCTGACTGAAGGTCCATTACCATTTTTTAACCGATATTAACCATTTTTTTTTTAATGAAATTTTTCGACAAACCAAAATTTACAAATCTCATAACTAAGCCAAAAACGCATTAATTTCAATTCGGAAAGCGGCCTTATGTTAATCTTTAGCAGGTTCATAAAACTGCATACTCAATTTAAAATGTAAATTTTTGGCCGATTTTTGCAAATTTTCATGATGTAACCCCTTTCCTTTTTAAAAAAAATGGGAAATTTCAGAAAAAAATTGTTTTCGGCCGGAGATGGCTAGAAAGATTCGCCTGTTGATGCTGATCAAGAATATATATGATTTATAGGGTCGGAAATGACTCCTTCACTTTCTTTTAAGCTTCTGACTGAAGGTCCATTACCATTTTTTAACCGATATTAACTATTTTTTTTTTAATGAAATTTTTCAACAAACCAAAATTTACAAATCTCATAACTAAGCCAAAAACGCATTAATTTCAATTCGGAAAGCGGCCTTATGTTAATTTTTAG